AGTTTTTCCCTTGCTTTGTTGCCTGTTAAGGCTGAAGAACGGAATTGGCTGGGACCTGGTTCTTATGTTCTCAGTTTTCCTCCTGGATGGAAAGGCTGTTGACATCTTGAGGGGACGGAAGCTCACGCTGGGGTGGCCAGTAGAGGAGTGGGGGGAGGGCAGCCATACTCAAGTGGGGCCATGTCAGGCTGGGTTTATTTAAGAGCATCAACATGTTTTGGTTAAGAAAAATTCTTGTTTTGCTTTAAATGTAAATCTTCCCGGTGTTGTAAATGAAGTTCAGTCTCCTGCTCTCCAGCCCCAACTGATGTCTGCGCTGGGCTGAGGTCCTGCCCGCTCTGCAGGGGGGCCCGCTGCCCTCCCACCTCTCCCCCGCTCTCCGGATGCCCCTCCTCCTGCAGCAGTTGTTTGGGATGACCCGGCAGAGGCTTAAAAAGGGCCAGCCCCTGCCGCCACAGACCAGCTGTTGGCCAAGACCCAGGGCTTCCTCTACACCCTCTGGCCTGCTCTGCCCACAGGTCCCTGGGCTGCCAAGGGGCCGGCTACAGTGGTCCTGTTCTCTCGCCAAGAGCACGCCTCTGCTGGGTTGCTCCTTTCAAGCATATGCGTGTGATCGTGGGGAACAGTTAGACTTGTCAAATTGGGGCAGTTTTAGGAATTGTTTCTAGCTGGAGGGACTGGTGTCCTTCCAAGACTAGCCTTTGGGGTATGGAAAATTGTTGCGGTGTGTGGTAGGGTTTTTTCTTTTGTTCTGAGTTTTCCTTTTTTAACTTTGGTCTCCCGGCTTTTTCCTTTCCCTTTCCTTTCTCCTCCACGGGCCAGCTCAGGCCTTCTCCCTGTCAGCCCCATAGGAGGGCGCCTGCCTCCTCTGCCTGCTGCTGCATGCATCCAAGGCCAGAGCTCAGGCCTGCAGGCAGGGTTGGTGCCTCCTCTGCCTCAGGGGCATGGGAGCTGGGGAAGGGCTTTGGAAAAGTAATAACGAAAGGAAAAGAAAAAAGCAAAGTCTTTGACAGTTTCCACCCACTCAGATCCTCGAAGGTTGCAAGGTTTCACTGATCTGGGTTCATTGGGAATGTTTCCTTGCCAGCCAGGGCAAAGACCCAGACCTGCTGAGAGCAGAGGCCCTTCCAGTCCCCAGGCTACCACCACCCCAGGGGCCTAGTCTTACAGAGGCTGCAGACAGCCGGGGCAGCCACCATTAAGAAGCCCCTCTCAGGGGCTAGAACTCCTTTGCCAGCGTGGATTCCTCAAGTCGGGACTGCATAACTAAAGCAGTTGCAGTTTTATTTTTTTTACAGCTTTTTTTCCCAAAAATGATTTGCAGTTGTGTGTGCAACACTTTGCCCTGATATGTGTGGTATACAATAAAAACCAAATCTAATATATTTTGAAAAAAAATTAGAATGGGGGGAAAGACTCCCTACACCCTCCAAAAGGAAGTATCTGTGAAATGTTGACTTTGAGGTGTTACCAAAACACTTAGGATACTGGAGATGTACCAGAAGTCATCCACACTGTGATAAAATTTGAAGCCAAGGTGAAAGTTGAGTTTATCTAGCAAAAGAAGATACAGCAATAGTTCTCAAAGTGTAGTCCCCAGACTAGCAGCAGCAGCAGCATCTGGACGCTAGTTAGAAAATCCAGTTTTTGGGTCCCATTCCAGATATATTGAATCAGAAACTTTAGGGATGAGGCACAGCAATCTGTGCTTTAATAAGCTCTCCAGGGGATTCTGTGCACACTACAGGTTGCGAGTCACTGGGACAAATTTAAAAAATGGAAGAGAGAGAAGGACTGCAGTTTAAGGTTTCCAAGGCTAAAAAGGACAGAAAAAAGTCTCAAAGTTGGAGAGGATCCATGGGAACCAAACATCAGTGGAAGCCACGGAGGGAGAGAATTTCAAGGAGATAGTCAATATTTTCAAATGTTACAGGAAGTTTGGTTCAAGTTAGGGCATTTGTTCGAGTTCACAAAGTGCGACCTTGTATAAGTCTCCTAACCTTTCTGAGCCTCAACTTGCTTATGTGCAAAATGAGTTTGGAATCATGCTCTTCCAAAATTTTTAAGGTTTTTTAATGAATTAAATTATACATTAGATGTCAATTATGAAACCAGACAATGATTCATGAAGTAATCTTTCTGTACTATAGCCATTAAATTTGACCGTAGTTCTAAAACCTAACTTCAGTGCTAAAGCTCTCAAGATTGGTGATTTTGATAACAATGTTCCCATATACTTGTATAAATTAAGTGATAGCAGAGCAGATACTGGAGGATAATATAACTTGGCTAGACATCAAGAACATACCAGTTCTGGGGGACAGCATGACTAGGGAGATGCCTTGTTTCCTGGATGTAAATTTTTATAAACTGCCACATGAAGTGTGGGTCAACATTTTGACTGTTCATTAATACAAGAAACACACAGATGAGATTTGAGTCACATTTCTGGGAAAGGAACAGAAGCCATAGTGATGAGCTATTTTGTGGGGTTTTGTGAGAATTGTAAAAATGCTTTAAAAAATCACTTACTTTGATTTAGCAGATAGAGAAACTGAGGTATACAGTAGTGATACTGAGGTGATAATAGAGTTTACTGCCTATATCATATTATTTGATAGGTGCTTAAATTCTTCGCTGACCCAAATTTGGTCCCATGAAAATCTTCCAGCAAACTTGTAATTCTTACTATTTAGTTGCTCCTTCAGCATTAGTTCAAGGTTTTTCACAAGTGCTTATTTGAATGCTTAAATAAATGAGAGACTGAAGAACTAATTTCACTTAAGTTGAATATATGCTTGATCTGAAAAGATTAACATTATTACCTATAGCATTACCTAGAATATATGTACATGATCTGCTATTGTTAATGATTAGCTTAGTGCCAGGCTTTATTGGAGCTGGTTCCAATAAAGTGATGTTTAATGTAGTGCAAAGGTAGGAAAAGGTCTGGACTTCTAGAACACTGTTGTTGGCATCTAAGATATGAGGGAAAGTTGGAGAAGTAATACACTTAACTCACCTGGATGCTGTATGAGTTCTGAAGTATCAAAAGGAAGTGAATAAGGTGAGAGGCAATGCCAAATACAAATTGTGCATACTTCACAATACATTCTCTAGTAAATCCTATAGCCCTATATAGGATTTTATCTTTGCCCAGAAATGAATTAAACAACCAAACATAAAACAAAAAAATGTTAAGTCAAATAACTCAAAATAAAATCCAAAGGAATTGGAACATTGAAGGAGACTCTATTCATAGATCACAGGAACCCTCTTTACAAGGCCATCTCTGCAATCCTAAATTCTCCTGCATTCTGCAATTACTCCAGACTCTTTCCCAAAAATCTATGTAATTTTCTCCCAGCACTACCAACTCTGTAGTGGAATTTAACCTCTCAGGCTAAGTCTTCCCACTTTTCTTACTGCTCCAGTCCCCAGGTTTGTAATTTGTCTCTTCCTTGGAGAGACTGAGGTGAGAGAAGACTGGAGAAATAGGGATAAGGGAAGGAATTAGCATTCTTACTTTAATAAATCTTATCCTGATCATTCTAAAATCTCCCCTGGCTCAGTTTAGGTGATGCTTTGGTCGGGGGAGGGGTTGATTCATTTCCTCAGCTCAGAACTAAAAACAAAAGCCCTAAGTGCAAACTCTGAAGTATTCTTTCCACTCTCCTGTTTTTGTCTTGCTGTTTGGAACAACAGTGATTTTATACAGTAAAACTGATAATACAGTGTGATCGAGCTCTGTGATAAATTTTATTCAAAGACTAGTGGGGAGGTCTAAGGAGGAAGCAGTTTACATTGCCTGTGGAGTAAGAGAGGCTTCTAAAACCTGGTGTTCCTAAAGCTGCAGTCTGAAGATGTGGAAGTTCATGTAATACTCAGGGAGTAATATCTCCTTCAGGATGAAGCATGGAGTGAATGAAGAACAGTAGCAGAAAAGGCAGGCCATAGTCGTATTACGAAAGGCCTTAAATTGTTTGCTTAAAAAAAAATACCCTCTAGTGACTACTGTAGGCAAAAAGCAGAATCTCATCATTATTTATGGCTTTTAGATAACTTTCAGTGTGGGAGGTAGACTTGAGATTCACAATTAAGGTTGTTTGTTTGTTTTGTTTTGCTGTTTTAGACCTATAGAGATGGGTGTTATCAGATGAGCCTAAAGACTCAAGAGTTTCTGCTCTAGAGATCACTTAGGAGCTACTTTAATAGGTGGAAAGATGATAAGGGATTGAGCCAGGAACGTTTCAGTGGCAATAGAGAGGTAGATACAGATGGAAAGATTTCAGGGATAGCACGGGAAATGTGACTATGTCACCTGCACTCTATACTATTATGTCATCTCAAACAGTGCTTGATAGGTAAGGCTTTCTCTGACTCACCCTGGCAAATAGAATGGGGTGGGAGTGGGCGGCTGTTTTCCGAGCTACTGATGGTTCATTCGTATGCCCGTTGGATTGCCAGCCTCTTTAAGGCAGAGATCATATCTTTTCATCTCTGTGTTCCTCCAGCCTTCTAATGAGCTGCAAAAAAGTGCTCGATGGTTGTTAAGTGGAAAACAGACATTCATAAATGACTGACGATTACAGGCTGTTTGGCAGGAAAAGCCTTAATTTTATAAGTTCATTGATCCCAAGACATAACCGATTACCACTCAACCTAAACTTCTGTAGCACTTAAAAAATATTTGTTTGTTTTTTGTTTTAATTAAGCTGGTAAACTACCCATCCCACAAATAACCATAGAGGCTAGAGTGCTGGCTTCACAATTACTTTTTAAAAATCTGATTTTATTGAGCTGATTTTGTGTGCCAGGAAGTGCTCTAAGAAGACCCAGAAAATGGGAGGTACTGGTTTCCATATCTTTTGACGGTAACTGTAAACACGACCTAAGTCCCAGTTGCAAACCAGCTTGCCGGAACTAAGACGCTGACATTCGAATTTCCGGGGGGGAATCTAGAGTATGTAACCACGGATCGATTGCTTTTGCCTGGCGGAGGCCTATCTGCAAGGATTCTGCTCCGTGAAGGCAACGAAAGGAGGTGAGTCCGGGATGTCCTCTTCGGAAGGGACGCTGAGCCGCTGAGATTCGGGAGTCCACGCTGGGCCTGTTTGGCTGGGCGTCGGAGCGGGTCGGAGAATTCAGTCATGTTCCCCAACGCGGCGATGCGCTCTTTGCGCAGGAACAAGACCCTTCGCTACGGAGTCCCTATGTTGGTGAGCGCTGTGAGGAATATGTGGAAGCCGAATACTAGAAGAGGTTATAGTCAGAAATTTTCAGATTTAAAAAATATTTTGCAAGTAGAGGTGACAGAACTCAGAATGGATTAGATGTGAGATATGAATGAGAGGAGCTAAAGATGACTCCAAAGAAGCTGGCTTGAGTAGCTGTATGAAAGTATTTGACATTTACTGGGATGTGAAAAATTGATTAACAACAGGTTGAGGCAGAAAGAGTGTTGGGGTAAAAAATCAAGAATTTTTTTTCACGTTTATTTGTATATACCTGTTAACTTTTCAAATGGAGATGTCAAATAGGAAGGGCTGTCTTCAGTTCACTGCAGTGTTTCCCACTGCAAATGTACATTTGATTGTTATGTTATAGAGTCTGTTTAAATCCGTGGAACTGGATGACATCACCTAGGGACTCAGTGTTGGTTATGAATAGGTAAAAGAGGTGTGAAGACTGAGCCTTTTGAGATACTCCAATATGTTGAGATGGGGAAAGTGAGGAAGAATGAATAAAAGGAGACTAAGGAGGAGTTAGGAAAATCAGGGGTGTGTCCTTTGACTGAAACTAAGAGACAGAAGTTACTTTACTATACATAGAATTATTACATATTGACATTGCAAGTATTAGTTGCTTATGTATAACAGATATTTTTCCTGGTTTGTTGCCTTTTGATTTTATGTCATTTTTATTTCATTTATTTTCAGGAAAGACATTTTAAATTTTTATGTAGTCAAATTTATTAGGTTTTGAAATTCATAGCCTTAAGATTTTGTTGGTATTCCAACTCTAAAATTATAAAATTTTATATTTTACAGTATATCTCTTTGTATTTCTTTAATTGGTAATATTAATAAATTGATATGAAAAGGAAGGTAGAGATCAGACTTAATTTTCTCCCTCAAATTGCTAGCCTTTTACATCTTTAGGATGAGAGATTTAAGCCCATTGGATTATTCCAGGAGATGCTAAAGCAGCAATGACAATTTGAGGGCTCTTTTTAGGTTTACCACGTACTGAGAAGTGTGGCATATTTCATGAGATTCTTCTATCATGTGCTAAGAAAATGGAGAAAAATGCTCTCTAATTGGCTTATTTTGCAAAATTGTGAAATTGAAAGAATTATGATCTTGAAGAAGCTAGGCCAGGATTTACTCCTGAATTTACCTAGTGTAATCATGGGCAAGTCATTTAGTTGATTGTGCTTTTATTTCCTTATCTATTAAATGGATTTTTTTCCTTAGTTCATAGGTCTTTTGTAAGAATCAACTAATATAATGCTTGTAATGGTGATATTTAACTCATAAGGTCAAATACAGTTATGGGGATCCTGTTTTTGGTATTTACTAATGTGCTAAAACGTTTCCCAGTGACAGTATATACTACATTTACTCTGAAAAGATGAATGATAACTCACTAGGAAAAATAAAAGGTATAGGATTTTGTATAATCTCTCACTGTTGGCATTTAGATAAGTAGTATATAGGTAGACTGAATTTTGTCCTTCTATTTTAATTGTTTCCCTGTCTTGTTTCAGTTGCTGATTGTTGGAGGATCTTTCGGTCTTCGTGAGTTTTCACAAATCCGTTATGATGCTGTGAAGATTAAAGTAAGAACTGTCATTGGAGTTTGACATGGGTCTGTGTCCTTGTATGTTCTGATTTAGGAGACATGTACTCAGTATACTAAGTTTCATCTTGCTTTTCAAGGCTGATATATGATCTTTGGGCTCTTTTTAAAAAAATTACTTTCCATTTATAGTAATTACAAAATATTGGCTGTATTCCCTGTGTTGTACAATACATCCTAGTGCCTGTCTTACATCCAATAGTTTGTACCTCTTACTCCTTGACTGCTATACTGCCCACCCCCTGACTGGTAACCACTAGTTTGTTCTCTATTATCTGTGAGTCTGCTGCTTTTTGTTATATTCACGATTTGTTGTTATTTCTTGGATTCCAGATATAAGTGATATCATATAGTATTTATCTTCGTCCATCGTACTTCAGTTAGCTTAATGCCCTCCAAGTGCATCCATGTTGCTGCAAATGGCAAAATTTCCCTCCTTCTTATGGCTGAGCAGTGTTCCATTGTATTTATATACTACATCTTCTTTATCCATTTGTCTGTTGATGGACACTTAGGTTGCTTCTATATCCTTGCAATTGTAAATAATGCTGCTGTGAAGATTGGGATGCATGTATCTTTTTGAATTGGTGTTTTTGTTTTTTGGGGTTTTTTGGATATATACCTGGGAGTGGAATTGGTGGGTCATATGGTAGTTCTATTTTTAGTTTTTTGAGAAATATCCATGCCGTTTTCCACAGTGGCTGCACCAATTTACATTCCTACCAACAGTGTACAGTGGTTCCCTTTTCTGTGTATCCTCATCAACATTTCTTATTTGTATTCTTTTTGGTGATAGCCATTCTGACAGGTGTGAGGTAATATCATGTATACTCAGTACACTAAGCAGTCTGTTTTATCTTGCTTTACCAGGCTGACATATGATCTTTGGGTTCTTTCTTCTTTAAAATAGCATTAATGATCTCATGGAAGTGAATCATGAAATATAAAGAATTTAGTAATCTTTCTTTATTCACTAATAGAAACTTTGCAGTCGTGTTAGCTTTTTCCCACAAAATATGCTCTGATATAGTTGTTTTTGGGATCTAGATGGGACTAAAGAACACAGGACAGTCTCACTCCATTTTATTATTCCAATTGTAAATTACCTATTTTGTAGTAATACCAATAATTTTATAAATTATATCAATATATATCTTTAGAAGCTAATACTAAAAGAAAAGAAAATTGTTTCTCATTATAAATAGTGCTACCTATTTTTTTACAGGGAACCTTTTTCTAGGTATGCCTTTGTGGTAGGACTATGGATATATTATTGTCTTTATATATATTCTTTATAGATATATTGTCTTTATTTTACAGGTGAGGAATCTGAGGTTCAGAGAGCTCAAGTAACTTGCCTAAGGTCACATGGCTATTTGGGGGTAGAACTAGGATTCCCACTTTTATGATTACATAATTACTGTCAAATTCAGGCCTCTGATTCAGAGGAACTCTGGTAAACTCATTCAGAAGTATGTAGTTTTTGTTTGTGGCCCACATCTGATATCTGAAAGTATTTTCTTCCCAAGTACAGTTGACCCTTGAACAACAGGGGTTTGAACTGTGCTGGTTCACTGATACATGGATTTTTTTCAATAAATACTACAGTACTACACAGTCTGCAGTTGTTTCAGTCAAAAAACGTGGAACCTGCAGATATGACAGGCTAACTGTATATTTATTGAAGAAAATCCCTGTATAAGTGGACCCTCAAAGTTCAAAATCATGTTGTTAAGGGTGAGCTGTATTTCATTAGCAGACCTCAGCAATATCGATGGAAAGTAAAGAGTACAAAAGGCCTATTCAGTTTTTTCAGTTAATTTTATAGTTTCAGAGAGATATCAACTCTAGTCTTGAAGACAGTGAGTATTAGAATAGATACTAAATTTAAAAGGAATATGTAGTTTCTGTGAGGGAATAGAGCAATTATCACCTGAATTTTTAAGTTCCTGTTAGCATCCCAATTATTTTATTACGGAATTTTTTTCCCTTTTGCTTTAAGATGAAAGTTGTAATAATCTGACCTTTAGAAATGGAATATCATGTATATATTTGAAAAATAATTGAACATTTGTCATGTGTTGATCATATGTTAAGATACTACAGATAAAGATTCAAGAAACCGGTTCTTATGTGTATGAAATTCATCTATATTTTACCACTAATTCAGAGTCAGCAAGCTTTTTCTGTAAAAAGCCAGGTAGTAACTATTTTAGGCTTTGTGTTAGAGTAGATTTGATTCATGGGCCATAGGTGCTGACCCCATGATTTTTTCACTGCTATTATATGATATTCCACTAATTATACCATAACTTATTTATGCATTTTATTATTAGACATTTGGGTTGATTGGCAGTTTTGGCTAGTGAAAATAATGCTGCTGTGAACATTCTTGTATATTTTTCTTGTTGCACTTGTATAGCTATGGCCCATGAACCAAATCTACTCTAACATCCATTTTTGTAAATAAAGTTTTATTTGAACACAGCCATGCTCATTTTTTATTCATCTATGGCTGCTTTTATGATACAACTGCAGATTTGAATGGTGGTGAAAGAGTCTGTAACTCACAAAGCCTACAACAGTTATAGGTTATGTTCATCATACTTTATCTTTATTTGATAATTTCTAAACTGTTTTTCAGAGTGATTGAATCAATTGTAGGGGAGAAAAAAAAATTTTCCCTTTACCTCTCTACGATCTTGGCCAAGATCCTCCTGTAATAAAATACAGATTAACAAGAGAAAAGCAAACAGAAGTTTAATAACATGGGAGATACTCAGGAAAACTGAGTAAAACTCTCCCCTCCCATCACCTTAAAAACTATCATAAGTTAAAGACAAAAGAAGGACAGGGAGGGCAGTTATAAGAGGTTACTGTGAATAGCACAGTAAACAGGGTAAGGTTGTTCTATGGATTTAAAGGGATCCCTTCTCCACTGGTAAGAGTTTCTTGTGGTTTAGAATCATCCTTCTTAGTACAGAAAGGGAGACACTTACAAATGGAGATTTCCTTTATAAATTTATGTGTCCCTCACAAAAGGGTAATTTCTACTGGTTTTCAGAGCTTCTATGTCTGCTATTTCTTAAAAACAATCATCTCAAGATAATCCTTAAGCCAAAGAGGCATATTTTGGTGTGTCATATTCTGCTCCCCTTTACAGTCTACACTCCTGCTTTAAAACAAAGGATGTTGCCCTCCATCCAGTTCTGTAGGTGCTAAGTTGTTAGCTGCTGCAATCACTGACTTACAGTACACACTGAAAGGAATTCAGGCTGAAGAACTCTGCCTTGGGAAAACAGACAAAACAGGCCCTTAGTTAGATAAATTTCAAGTTTTCATGAGCCCAGATTCTTGCATCTTCCCATACTTAGAAAAGCATTAAAATCATTAACCAAGATGTCTGTTCCTCCTGAGTAGCAGTAACCTACCAAGATGTATGCTTTATTGCACATACTCCTTAGCCAAAATCATTTACTAGCCTCTCTCCCTACCTCTTCAGAGCAGTTCCTTCAGATAGTTCCTGAGCTATCTGGGAGGCTATCTCCTGGGCTGTAGTCCTCAGTAAGACACTGAATAAACTCAATTTACAACTCTTACATTGTGTGTTTTTCTTTCTGTCGACACTGCCAACAGTTTATTGTTCCCAAGGCACCAAATACTTGCCAGTACTGCGGCGCCAAATACTTGCCAGTACTGCGGTGCCAAATACTTGCCAGTACTGCCAGTACTTGGCTGTTGTAGGGTTGGGGTTTTCCTTTTCTTTCTTTCTTCCTCTTTCTTTTCTTTTTTCTTTTTTTCTTTTCTTTTCTTTTCTCTTTTCTTTTCTTTCTTTTCTTTTTTTCTTTCTTTCTTTTCTTTCTCTCTCTTTCTTTCTCTCTTTCTTTTCATTTTTTAAAGCTGTTTTGGTTGATGTGTTAGAATTGTTCCCTAATTATGTAGTGAACTTGAATTTTTCATAATGAAACTGAGTCCCCCTAAAACCAAGTTCCCTTACCAAGTTTATGATTAATCCATCTAGCTAAAATTTTATTCCCTTTCTTGTCCCCTCTGACCTAAATCTTGAGCTAACTGAACACTGATCAACCAGAGTCAGATAACTAAAATTGCTGTTGTTGATAACATTGTTAATGTACTAAAATTGCTGTTATAGACATCTTCATTAATGTACAAACTGAGGTTGTTTATCCAGGGGAAGAAGAGCTAACAGACCACAAGCCATGGACCACCTGGCCAGAGAATCATAAACCAGAAATATCCTGACTTCCCAAACTGAGATTAAGAAATAGCACAAGATAATGATTAATTTCAGCCTCTTTCTTCTTCCCCTTTTAAAAAAGACCCAACTCAGAGACCAAGCTGAAGTGGATCTGAGGCTTGTCTCCCACTTCCTTTCTTGGTATTCTACAATTAACGCTGTACTTTCCTTCAGCATAACTGGGTGTCAGTAGATTGGCTTTGCTGCGTGTCAGGTGAGCAGACTGAGTTGGTTAAGTAACAGTGACTAATGAGGTCAGTCACTTTCATATGTCTATTGGCCATTATTTCCTTTTTTGTATATCCTCTAATTTGAGGTTTCAGGTCTTGGTTGCCCATTTTTTCCTACTGAGTTGTTGGTGTTTTTTTCTTATTGTTTTGTAAGAACAATTTGCTTTCTTTGTACATGTTGGATTATAAACCTTTTAGTCTTCGCTTTTTTTGTGTGTGGGGGGGGCAATGGGGTAGGTAATTAGGTTTATTTATTTATTTTTTTTCCTGGAGGTACTGGGAATTAAAACTAGGACCTCATGCATACTAAGCATATATTCTACCACTAAGCTATACCCTCCCCTCTAGTCTTCACTCTTAATGATATCTTTCAATGAACAAATTTTCTCAAGTTTAATGTAGTTTATTTTATTCCTTTTTTACTTTATGGTTACTTTTTCTTTTTGTCCTTTTAAGAAAATTGTTTTCTACTCCAAAATATAATTTTTAAAATATTATTGCTAAAAATTTTTGTTCTTGCCCTTTATATTTGGGGATACATTCCATCTGGAATTGATTTTTGCACATAATGTGAGGAATTGTGATGTGATTTATAATGAGAAATGTGTATTTGGTCTTTTTATTTTTGACACAGAGCTCCTAAAACCTGGGAATTTCCTAAATAATAAGAGCAATCAGGGTGCCTTTTGTTATGCTAATCAGGTGACTTGGAATGCCCTTGGGTAACCTAAAGAGGGGGCTTGTTGCCAGGGGAGTCAATCCTTTGACTAGAGGGTTGGAACTTTTAGTCCCACTTCCTGACCTCTTTGGTGGGGAGTGGGGCTAAGGTCGAATCAGTTACTGATGGTCATGATTTAATCAGTCATGCCTTTGTAACAAGGCCTCTATAAAATCCAAAAAGATAGGATTTGTACAGCTTCCTGGTTGGTGAACCACGTGTAGGTGCTAGGAGAATGGCACACTCAGAGAGGGCATAGAAGCTCTGCACCCTTTCTCCATGCTTTGCCCTATTTATCTCTTCTATCTGGCTATATCTGGCTTATATCCTTTTATCCAGTGAAAAACAATGTTTCTCTGAATTCTGTGAGCCACTATAGCAAACTGATCAAAACCAAGGAGGGGTTATTGGAACTGCCAATCTATAGTCAGTGAGTCAGAAGAAATGTTTTTCCTTAACATATAAGCATAGAGAATTTTCTAGTTACTATTTTTATTGTTTTTTTAAATTGACTGTGGTATAATCAAAGAAATATTTTCAATGAGTTTATTCTTTTGATTTTGTTGAGACTTGCTTTATGACCTAACATATCAGTTTGTACAAATGATATGTGCTTGAAAAGAATTCACATCCTGCAGTTATTGGGTACATACTAAAAATTTATACATCCATTTGGTCAAGTTTGTAATTTCTGTTTTTTCAAGTTTTCTGTATTATTGACTTTTAAAATCTGTCCATTCTCTTACTGAGAGAATTGTGTTAACATCTCTCATTATGACTCTTTGTCTATTTCACCATGATATTAGGTGTGTATAATTTCAGAATTATTATGTCTTCTTGAATTGGATTTTTGTTGTAATGAAGCTTTGCTTGGTGATAATGCTTTTTCTCCTTAAAGCCTATTTTGTTGGATATTAATAAGGCTTCACTAGCTTTCTTTTTAATCTCAACCTTTCTGTAAACTCAAGTTTTATTATATTTTATATATTATATTATTTTTATATATTACTCATTAATTTCTGATTACTTATTGCCCTTCCTCCATTCTCTGTATTTTGTAGCACTGAAACCCCTAATAGACATATTTTGGATCTAGCTTTCATAATATGCTTTTTTTTCCCCATTTATCTCATCTGTTTGTGCATGATTCTAGTGGAATTCTTAAGTTTTGTTTCTAATGTACTGATTTGGTCTTAAGCTGTTTCTAGTCACTATTTAACTCTTCCACTTTACTTAATTTGGGTTTTGTTGTTGTTGGTAGTTGTTTGTGAATTTTGGCAGCCACATTTTTCTTTCCTAAAGACTGTGCCACACACAGATACAGCGTGAGCTCCTGTTTACCACTATGGGGTCCTGTCTAATTTTTTCATGGATGCTTCCTTGTTTCTGGTATGGAAAGTGTTCTTTTTTGTTTTCAAGAGCAGCATTATATTTATTAGTGTTTTGATAATGATTCTGTGTGATAACATAATTTAGGGTGGGGTCAATAGCATAGACTCTGGAGGCAGAGGGCCAAGGTTCTAAGCCAAGTTCTGCCTCTTTGACTAGTTTTTCAAACTCCCTGTGTTCCATTATCTTTACTTTGTTCACAATAATAATGATACTTATCTCACAGGCTTTTTTTTTTTTGAGGATTGAAAGAGGTAATAAACATCAGAATGCCTGGCACGTAACAAGTGCTCAGTTAATATGAGCTGCTGTTAGTGGTAGTAGTGGTGGTGGTGCTGTATTAGTTATCATTGTGCAATTGGATGGATCTTGGAGATCTTCCCATGTTTTTGTAACGTGCCACGCCATCCTAGCCATGCCTTATATAACTTTTTTAATTGAAAATTGAATCTAACATACTTAAATTACTTATGGCTGCTCTTTCTTTTCTGTAGATTGATCCTGAATTAGAAAAAAAGCTGAAAATGAATAAAATGTCATTGGAATCAGAGTATGAGGTACAGTATGTTAATGTAGCAATCTTCCTAGTCATGACTGGTTCTATCTGACTTAAGGTAAACTTAAATTATTACCAATACAGAAAAAAGTTATTTACCTTAAATATATGCTGTTGGAATAACTATGTGGCCATTTGAAAAGAAAATAAAGGTGGATCTATATTTCATATACTGTGAGTAAATTCTAGGTGGATCAAGAATTTTTAAAAAAAATTTTAAAAGCTGAAAGTACTAGGAGTAAAAAAAGGAGATTCTTTTTTTGGTCTTGAGTAGGAAAAGCCAGAAGCTTTAAAAGTAAAGAATGAGTCATACATGAAAATTCAAATGTTCAACCTAAAAAAAACAGTGTATATAAAGTCACTAGTTAAATGAGAAATTCTAAAAATATTATTCACCTTATCATGATGAATTAATTTATTTAAATATGAAGAGCAAATCCATATGGAAAAGTTCAATAACTCAGTAGGTCAGTAGGAACATGGGCAAAGCATGTAGTGAGTTCAGAGGCAAGGAAGTAAATATGTTTAAACGTGTGAAGAGATGCTTGACTTATAATAGGAATGTCAGTTAAAATTATAATGAGGTATCATTTTCCACATATCTGGTTAACAAAATCAAAGAGTTTAATAACACATTTTGTTATAGGACATGGTGAGGGATGATGTGCTCCATCTCGGATTGTATTTTCCTACTTCTTTTTATGTTTGGTCATTTTTGATTGAAAGGTGAACATTGTGAATAATATACATAGAAGAGACTTGTGAAAAGTGTTGATTCTCATTTTAGCAGGCAGTTCAATTATTGGCTGATCATTTTGAGCTTGATTTTATGCTTTGTAAGGGAACATCTGTGGAAAAGCTGTGATGTTTCCTAAACCTCTCTAACTTTATGGAACTTATTCTCCACACTGTTTCCTCAGAGGATCTTGTCAAGAGATTGGACCATTTTTGCATGAAGTTGTTCTGCCAGCCTTGCAACCCATCTAAGAATTGTTCTTAAATTCGCTTGAGCATACATGTCTTAAGTTATCTGAGTGGAAGCCATTATTCTTTCTTAAAACCTTTTTTATAACTTTGGATCACTTCATAACTATACTTGAAAATAATTTACTCTGTTCTTGCACATTAGATTAGTAGAATTTTGTTCACCCATGTATATTTAATAGACACCTGGTAAAACTATAAGTGAAATTTAGAGAATGGTTTCATTCACTACTTCCCCATTATTTTGTCAAAACCTGTAACTTGCTCCTTCTCAGTATATAAGCAGTATATAAGAAGGTTTTTCTGGGAGTAGACTTTCCTTTTAGTTCCAACAGAAACCCCAGCATTTGAGAACTGAAGAAACCGTGTAGACCATTTGGTTTAGCCCTTTGCTTATTACTTATGAGAGAATTAGTGCCCAGTTGGCTCAAATCACATGCCCAGTGTTACATAGCTGTTAGTAAAGGAGTAACACTTAGTATGTAACTGCCAAGGTAAATTTGTATCATTTCCCCTGTCTTTGGATATAAGCTATCCTGTGTTCTCTGAGTCTCTTTTTCTGTCTTGTTCACTTAATTACTCCGGAATAACCAATGCAGATGTATGAAATTTACTGTCAGAGTGATGTCAGAAGGTAAAGAAACATTTTTCTGCCCTTTTTTCCTATTTTCATTCCTGTGGTTGAGAGATACTTCACACTAACTGAAGACACAATGATCCAAACTATAGTTGAAACTAGTTTTTACTGCCTAAAAGGGCTTTACTTGTGACAGCTATGAGGGAATATCTTTTTATTCTTAAACACAGGCTCATTTCTGAGGTGCAGAACAAATTATCTTGATCTCTTGTCCTTCCAGCAGACTCTAATAGAGTCTCCACCTTTGTTCTTTTCTTTTCGTTTGCTACCATCACCCATATTAACCCATGCTAGTCATTATTACGCTGGATCAGCCTTAGGAGTTGGACTTTTGTTTTACCAGCTTTTCCCCTTTCTTTGTGCTCTCAAACCTAAAGCATATAGACTCTTTCTATTGTAGTAGTTTTATTCTGATGGGGGAAAAGGTAGGTATTAACATCAATAGCAAGCAAGAAAAATTCCAAGTCCTTAGAAATACATTTCTTTAATTATTATGCTCGACATGCAGTTGATTTATTTACTAAAATTATAATTGAGGGCCTATTGAATTCTTTCTATTCATTTATTCAGCTATGTCTTAATCAGACCCACATGGCTACTGTACTAATACATATGCTTTAATTTTCATGGCTGTATAGAAAATAAAGGATTCCACTTTTGATGACTGGAAGAATATTCGAGGACCCAGGCCTTGGGAAGATCCTGACCTCCTCCAAGGACGAAATCCAGAAATCCTTAAGACTAAGACAACTTGACAATGCTGATTCTTTTTTTTTTTTTTAAATAAAAATGTTATCAACTGGAATTTCCTCTACATACTCCTACCCAGTTGGGGGAAAAAAATTCCAGACCTGCAGAAGCCTGGATGTGAATAATTTGGTGAAAAATACTCTTGGTAAAGAGTTAAGTATGGGTTTTTATTCTTACCAACTCTTCCATTTTCAAGTGAAAGTAATAATGTTGACCATATATATTTTCTACTGCTCAGTAAAAATATGAATACTTAAAGAGTGTCATTTATTCTACTTCCAACTACTAACACATATTTCTTTTCTACCAGCCAGTAGGGTAACATTTTGATATTTCAATCTGATTCCTAATGAGAATAGTAGGTCTGGATCCAAATTTTCACAGTAACATCAAGCAGGATTTTATGTCAAACCTATGTGAAAAATAATATTGATCAGTCTGATAAGAGCTTCGGTTTTATTTATAATGTCTCACGTGGCATTCTAAGCAGTCTTCAAAGCATCACCTGATAATTGTATTGATACCATTAAAATGTATTAAGAAAATTGTTCCTAGTTAAAGCAAAAATTGTATAGTGGTATTTATACAAGGCTGGTTCAGCATTCAAAAATCGGTTAATGTACTCCATCACATCAATAGGCTAAAGAAGAAAAATCATATGATCATATGAATAGATGCAGAGAAAGCATTTGACAAAATCCAAAACACATTCATGATGAAAACTCTCAGCAAACTAAGAATGGAGGGGAACTTCCTCAACCTGATAAAGGACATCTACAAAAAATCTACAGCTGGCATTGTACTTAATGGTGAGAAACTGGATACTTTTTCAGTAAGATCAGGATCAGTACATGTCCCCTCTCACAACTCCTATTTAACTTCATATGGAAAGTCCTGGTTAATGCAATAAGACAAAAAAATGAAATAAAAGGTTTACAGATTGGAAAGGAAGAAATAAATGACTGTTAACAGGTGACATGGAGAAAATCTTGGCGAATCAACAACAACACAAAAAACTTACGGAACAAATAAATACAGCAAAATTGCACAATCCGAGGTTAATATACAGAAGTCAGTCACTTTCCTATATGCCAGCAATGAACAACTGTAATTTGAAATTAAAAGCACAATTTCATTTATTAGCATAAAATACCTTTGGTATCAAGCTAATGAAATATGTACAAAATCTAAATGAGGAAAACTTCAAACCTTTTGATGAAAGAGATCAAGGAAGATCTTAATAAATGGAATGATATGCCATGTTCATGGATAGGAGGACTCAATATTAAGAGGACAGTTCTCGATTTGATATATAGATTCAGTGTAATCCCCATCAAAGTTCTAGCAAGTTATTTTGTGAATATCAACAAACATTCTTAAGTTATATGGAAAAAATCAAATGTGACGACAATGATGGATCAAATAGAAAACATCAATAAAGTAGAAATTACAAAACAGAAACCAGTGGAAATTATGGAGTTGAAAAGCACAATGACCAAAATGAAAAATTCACTAAAGAGGCACAACAGTAGTTTTGAGTACAGAAGAAAGAATTGAGTAACATGGAAGATGAATAGATTATGAAATCTGAAACAGAGAAAGAAAAAAGGTAATCTAGATAAGAAAATATAACAATTATACAACATAATATACAACTAACAACACAGTTCAATAATGCAGGCTGTATGCTCTCACCACTGCTATTCAACATTGAACTGGAGGTTTTAGCCAGGACAATTAGGAGGGGGAAAAATAAAATAGGAAGCATCCAAATTGGAAAGGAAGAAGTAAAACTATCTCTGTTTGCAGATGACATGATCTTATATGTAGAGCATTTTAAGGCATTGACTAAAAATTATAACTAGTAGATGAGTTCAGTACTCATATGGGTGTTAGACATAGGGGTGGCATTGGGATTTGTTAAAACTATAAACTTCAAGGGCAGAGAATATTTTAAGTATCCTGCCTCATCTCTTTTCCTCTCTCCTCTCTCTACAACACCAAAGACAGTGCTTACTGAACTGACCTAATGTGGAAAGTCTTTTTCTTTGGAAGTTCTTGCCAAGCTCCTGGTAAGGAACAAATAAACTAATTTAAGACATTGAGCCTTTGAGAATCCATGGGAGCATTTCAGCTTAGAGTTGATTGGTTATGTTCTATCATTGTCTTTGAGTTCCCCACCCTAAGGAAAACTCAGCTTTCTGACACAAAGTATTAGTAATCAGTGAAGATTTCATAAAGAGGACAATGTTTACACTGTACACCAAACAACAAGTAACTCAAAAAATACCCTTACTACATTTCTCTTTCCCACAAAGTCTGTCATGGGTATCTCATTCTCTTCTCACTTGGCCATTTCCCCATGTAGGGCCCAGCCTTGATGGATCCTGTTTTTTCTCTTTCTGGATCTTCTCTTGCTCTTAAGTAATAATGCTCTCAACTCATTCCCTTCTCCCCACACCACCTCAAACTCATTACTTTCACATGCACAGCAAATTAGCTTTTCCCTAGCTCCTACAAACCAGCACACCCATCCCCAGAAGCTTATTTCTGTCATAGGGAACTCATGAGGAATCACAGTGAGGAATGTTACATTCTATATATTAAATATACGTATATTATCTTGGGAAGATTATCTACTTGGTACCTCCATTTCCTCATGTGGAAAATGGGAATAATAATCACAGAGACATCGTAGAGTTGATGTGAGCTAACTGATATAAAGCTAATTATGCCAATAACTGGCAAAGAGCAAGCACTCTACAAAGTTAATTACTATTATTAAATAGGAAAGAATTACTAGTAACAAAAATTCTTATCAGGATGTCACATCAAAAATAGTATTTTAATAGCATTGCTCAGCAGTCTATTAAATTAATAGCAATTAACCTTGTGTGAAAGATCTGTCTAAATAATCTTGTCTCTTCTGAAAACAGCAAAGTTCAGTGAGAAAAATGCAAACTGATAGACCTGAACTGGAGTCTTGGCTCTGACAGTTGATCAGATAAAAACTGTGTAATCTTAACACAAATTACAACCCACTTGTGCCTCAGTTACCTTGTCTGTGAATTGGAGTTCTGTAGTCGTTTGTGTCAGTTAACCTAGGTGAGGTATGTAAGGAACTCAGCAAAGAAACAGGCAGAGGAAACATAGGTGATGCAAGGGTGGCTGTTATTATTGACTAGTAGATGAAAAAATTAGTCTTTACAGATGATAGGTATTCTGTCCAAAATCACTGCTTCCAATAATGCCACTAAAATTTTCTGGGTTTTTTTTCTGCCTTTTGACGCTTAAATAATGTCTAACCTGCTAGAAGTATCACCAAATGATAGAAGGAAAGTGGAAAAAGGTTTCTGAAACATTTTTCAGTTTCCTCTAGATTGTGAGAGGGAGGCTAGACTTTGATGACAGAAGGGTTGAGAGCCATAACTGGTCTGTGGTGTTCCCAACAACCAGAAATCATCCTGGTGTGGAAGAAGCTTGGAGTCACTGCCTATTACCACTGGAGGGCGTGGTAAGACTACACAACACTGAATTTTGGGGCTCCACCTCTTGGGTAAAGTCCAGCTCTGGTGCAAGGTGTTCTCTCCACAGGGTCCCATAGTCATGAATTCTGACCGCTCCCCTCTCTGCATTCTCCCTTTGCCTGCTGTGAGACCAGAAGGTTCCAGACTGGGTGAATCACCTCAGCTACCTCAGCTACTCATCCTTCTTGTGTAGAGCAGCCTCCCCAAAGAGTGGCTAATGCCTGACGCCCAACAGCCACATGGAACCCTGGATTCCACAAAGAGGAGATAGAAGACAGTACAGATGAGAACATCTTGTGCTTTGAGGAGCTGCCAACCACCAATGTCTGAGCTGGGCTCTACACTCTGTCTTCAGCTATGTCCTACCTTCATGCTTCATGCTCACCTTGCTCCTATTCCTCCTCAGCTCCCCTTTCCTTGCCAAGGTATGTTAACCGCAAGAAACCAGGGCTCCTGTGCATCAGATGCCTCTAGGAAATCATAATCAAATCTTCCTGCTGGTCCTTGAAAATGCTGTTCCACAAACATAGTGACCCACCTATAGACACGCACATGCACACACTCGGGCACACCAGCCAGTCTCCCATGGTGTGTGCCTGAGTGGGAAGAGGCCACCTGGGGCAGCAGCCCAGGGAGGTAGCTCTGAGGCTGGCCCTCAGCATAAGTTACTAGTGTGTATCGTATCCCCAGTGGTGTGTTCACGCCTGTGTACTGAAGGAACGATACCCTTGCAGATCACATTTCCCTTGACCTGGGGGATCTCTTTTGGGCAAGTCAGAGTTTTCCTCAGGCATTGGGAGAACAAGATAAGAAACTCCAAACCCTACCCTGGACACTGTATGGGAGAAGGCGCTTGACTTGCAGAAATTCCAGACTTTTTCAGCAAAGGCCCAGTAGAGGTTCCTGTAGGCTTATTTGGTGATTTTTTTTTTTTATGGTAGGGGACCTGAGTGAGCAGATTAATTCTATTGGAGTATGACCCTTATGGGAACCATTATTTTCTTCCCAAAGGTGATAAAGTCTGCATGTCTCTATTTGTGAATGTAGGTGAAGATACAAGCCTCTGAGAGCAGGTACAATGTTCTTGGCATTTGTAACAATGCTAGGTGAATACATGCTGAGAGTGTTTATTGAATGAATGGTTGGATGTGTGTGAACAAGAAGGGGAGTGGCCATATGCACAACAGTATCTATGACTCAACAGAAACAGACAAGTCAGGGACACGTAAATGTTAGGGAGTGTGTTTGTCCCCTGGGCATGAAGCCTGGGTGAGAGAGCATATCTGGGTATAAGTGATGTCTGCAGGCACCAGGTGTGCTGAGAGTCCAGTCTGTGACCTCAGGATTAGACTTAACTTCTCTGGGCTCTATTTCTTTATCTTCCTTAACATTAAGTGACCAGGTTAGCTCTCTAGGGATTGTCTCAGACCTATGTCAAATCATAGGCCTCAAGGAGGGTATGGATTTCATTTCACCGACATGTCTTGTGGCCTTGTGACACTGTGTTCTTGTGTGTGTGTGTGTGTGTGTGTGTGTGTGTGTGTGTGTCTTGCTGGAACTTGTAATGGGCAGAAAATGAGCATTGCTACCTCGTAACCTCCAACATGTCTGGCTCCACTCCCAGATCCCAAGCCGCATTTCTCCCTCTCCTCTGTTCATGAGGAATGAGAACTTGGAAAAGAGATAGAGGGTTCAATTTTGAACTGAACTGCTTGTAGCTGATGAAACAATCT